AATGGTGGGGCGGGGAGCGGGGTGCGGGGAAGTAACCTTAAACAGGGCGGTCCAGGTGGTTCCCCTGGGAATCTGATATGGGGAACAGAGACCTTAAGCAGCTAATGAGCCTGGAGATTGTCTGGGGGGAACATTCCCCAAAGGGAGCCCTGCAGAGAGAGAAGTCTGTCTCCAAGGAGCAGCTAGGAGGCCTGGGGACTGAGAAGGGGACCTGCACAGAAAAGAGCAAGAGGGAGACCGATGGGAAATGAGGTCAGACAGGAAGTGGGGAAGGGGCAACATACAGACGTGCAGGCCTTGTAAGGACTTGGGCTTTTACTCTAGAAGAAAGTGGGTGCCATTGGAGAATTGTGAACAGAGAGGCATGATCTCAATTTTAAAAGGATTGCTCTGCCCTTAATAGCCCTTTATCTTGGGCAGGCCATTTAACATTGCTGAGCTGTAGTTTCTTACCTGTAAAATGAGCATAATATTTCTAATCTGATAGTACTATATTTTAAATTACAGTTCACATTTGTAATCTACAAAATATACAAGGATTGAATAAGTACAGCTGTCATTAATAAAAAAAAAAAAAAAAAAAAAAAGGAACCCGTTCCTCCATGCCACAAAGTGCTCATGGCAGAGGCCCTGAATTCAGCCATCTCTAAAGACAAAGTTGAGAAACAGGGGCCACGATGGCCTCTCAGCTGACAATTTCACTGGAGACATTTGTCCCTCAACTTCCGGGAGATGATTCACCAAGTGAACGAGAACACAGTGAAAAACTGTCTGCCCAACCACAGAACTCATGTAATTTCAAAATCCTATATCCAGACATTACTGAAGTCACAAGAACTGCTGTCATGGTACCCAGGGGAAATGTTTTTATCATTCATGAAGCAAAGGAGCATTAAGTGCCTTCTTCACACTGCACAGTGTTCTAGGGGCAGACGGCACAGAAGTGAGAACACAGAGAGTAGGAAGATACATGGATAAGAAGACATGGTCCCTGTCCTCACAGAGATTTTTGTCTGCAAGGAAAGGGACTTGTAAACAATCAACTATAATAGTATGTAATAAGAACCAGAAGAGATATGTGTCCACAATACAGGAAGACAGGGCTGGGTCGGTGTCAGGAATCAGGCTGAGTTTCAAGGAGGCGATAGACTCTTGAAGGGCTTGCATTGCAGAGCTGAATCTGAAGCCCAAAACTCTCTGTCATGCTGCCCTCCACACCCCTCGTCCTCTTTGCTTTGGATAACTCAAAATAAAAGTAATTGCTAAAGTACAAAATAAATTTTTTGTTTTCAAAATGGCACAAAAGTTATATGCATGCTAAAATTTAAATGGTTTGTTCTAAATATTCTGATGGTCTCCCCATTTTTGGTGCACCTTGATTTTGTGGAACCGTATGCATATTATAATCTGTTCACTGCAAATTCAGCACCTAGAGAGTGCCAGTCAGAAATACAGAAAGGAGAGAATAGATGGAGGTATGCAGACAGTACCCCTTGGGAGAGTACCCAAAGGTAATTAATGATGCTCAAACAGCCACCTCAAGCAACTGTTGTTGACCACTGTAGCTGGAAGGCAATACTAAGATGAGCCTGAATGTGAGCTTCTGAGCTATCAAAATAAAGTTCCCTCATGTTGCCATCAGACATGTTCCACTTTCGATCTGTGTTGACTTTCACATTAAACATCAGCCAAGACGGGGCCCAGATACTGTTCTTGAAGTAGTGGGTGCACCAACATGCACCATGGTTCCAGCGCTGGTTTGGACCACCACATTACCATTTTTTCACCTGAAGCACAAATTGAATATGCTTTTAAGGCTGTTAACCAGGGTGGCCTTACATCAGTAGCTGTCAGAGAGAAAGACTGTGCAATAGTTGTCACAAAGAAGAAAGTGCCTGACGAATTACTGGATTCCAGCACAGTGACTCACTTATTCGAGATAACCGAAAACACTGACCGTGTGATGATGGCAATGACAGCGGACAGCAGATCCCAGGCACAGAGGGCACACTGTGAGGCAGCTAATTGGAAACGCAATTATGACTTTGAGCTTCCTGTGGATTTGCTGTGTAAAAGAATTGCTGATATTCCTCAGGTCTACACACAATGCTGAAATGAGACCTCTCAGTTGTTGCATGATTGTAATTGGTGTAGATGAAGAATAAGGCCCTCAGGCGTACAAGTGTGATACAACTATGGGTTTAAAACCACTGCAGCAGGAGTAAAACAAATGAGTCAACCAGCTTTCTTGAAAAAAAAAGTGAAGAGATTTGATTGAATGTTTGAACAGACCTACTGTTCAAATTACCTGCAATTACATGCCTGTCTACTGCTCTCTAGCAATTGATTTCAAACCTTCAGAAACAGAAGTTGGAGTAGTTACAGTTGAAAATCCTAAATTCGGAATTCTTACAGAAGCAGGGATTGATGCTCACCTTGTTGCTCTAGCAGACAGAGACTCAACAGTGTAGCTAGTTTACCAAATCCATGACGCCACTTGCCTGTGTCTTTGGTAACAACAGACCAACATTAGGGGGGCCCCTGGATTGAACAGGGAACCTCTCCCGCTCCTCCTGCCACTGAAGTGGTTAGGACTCTATAAAAATAAAAGCAGTGCTTTTGGAAAAAAACAAAACCAAAACATCAGTTGACACAGAAAAGGCACTGGAAGAAAATCTGCCAAAATTTAGAAGGATTTGCCTGAGAGTGTTAGAACTACGTGAATATTTTTCCTGTCTTTATGATTTCATTTAAAATTCAAATGTTCAAAGTTTTTACAGAGAGCAAATATTCCAATTATAACAGGAGAAAAACAAAGTTAAAATTAAAACTATTTGGAAAGAAAGAAGTCTAGAACAAATAATATGTCATTTTCAGTATTTTTCTGGGCTTCCTATGAGTGCCTTGAGGGCCCCATTTGCAGCAACGAGCACAGAGCAGGGAAAAAACGGCCTGAGCCAAGGACGTAGCAAAATGAAGTTGCGCTGCTGTGCCAGGGCCACAGCAGTTATTCTGAACTCTACCTGGATTAAAGGACTCGCCTTCGAACTAGCATATGACTAAACTGGAACTTCTAAATTTAGGATGATATTTGAAGTGTTGAGAAATGATAGTGGGGAAAGGTAATTGAAATAACAACCAGCCACAAAAGGAAGGAACCCTGGGAAAATAAATTGTAATTCATAACAGGATATAATTAATTAGTTACCACCATCATTAATAGTGGCCATTTTAATGTGTGTTCCCCATAGGATAATGGAATAGAATCATTACATGCTTTATTTAAAATCCTAAAATAAATTTGTTGTTAACTTCTAGCACTCACACTTTTACTAGAAGAAACATATTACAACAATGGTTGCCTTTAAGTTCTGGAACTCAGGAAGATTTTTTTTTTCTTTAATAGTTTTTCTATTTTTGAAATCATCTTGGAAAGCATTTATTTTTGTGAGGGAAAAGCATGATTAAATTTCTTAAGGAATTAAGAGAAATAGAAATCATTTATAATCTCACACCCTACTGCAGCTAATTTCACTTTTAAATATTCTCTTTTAGCTGGTTTTGTTTCCATATGTCATTGTACATAGTTATAATTAACATGAGTATCTAGTTTCATAGTTTAATTTTATTTGACATTTTAAAATATTTTCATATTATATACTATTCATAATTATCTTTTGGTAGCTGTGTAGAGCATCATGGTGGTCAAATACTAGAATTTACAGTTTTCTACTTTGGGATATCGAAATTTATATAATTTCTTCTCTACAATAAGCAATAATGTGATAAATATTATATTATCACTAGCAATGTAAAAATGTACCAGATTCACCTCAAATTTGTTAGTAGTAGTCATTATTCTTTTGTTAATTAGTAGGTATAATTCCATACTTTCACATAATAATTTTTTTTTAATTTCTAGTAAGCTTGAATAGTCATTTTCACTACTAGAGATTTCTCCTGATTTTTGTACCTTTATATTTTGGATTGCGATACAATCAAATAAGCTTATCCATTATAAATATTGTCTTTTTATATTTTTTCCCTAATCAAGCATTTTTCTTTGCATTCTAATTTAGCTATTTCAGGTAGTAACATTTTCTGTCTTCATGAGCAAAGCTTTCACCTGTCTCCTTTATAATTTCTTCTGTTGATCCAAACATGAAGACATCATCAGTCCTCCACAGACAAAACAAAAGTTTTCTGCTAGGTTTTGACAATTTGATTTTATTTTGGTCTGTGAACATGGAAGTCTCTTATACAAGAGGGGACACCCCCAAAAAATGAAATTATCTTCTGGAGGGCAGAACCCTTGTAGTACAGGCTTCCCCTCACTAGGTGAGTGTTCTAGGAACACATATGCTATCAGTGTGCCTGCTGGTATTGTTGGGAGAGGCTGTGTTGGGCTTCATTGAATTTTTTTTAACTAATAAAATAATTGTATTTACTTAGAAACATTCAGAATGTCAACAAAACAGCTGCAACTTTTTTTTTTTTGCAATTACAGAATGGTATTCAGTTAACAGAACAATTATTTTGTATAAGCTGCATCAGAGACAACTGAAGATGAAAAAACTACCATCCCCATATCTAACTAACTTGTGCTGTGCACCAACAAGAACCTGCTTTAAACTTCCATGCCAATTTACAACCCCCACACTGTACCAGGCAAGGTTAGTGGCTATTGAAAATACCACCAGGACAGGGCTATCTAAAGACACATTCGGTAGTGTGTTAACTATACAAAAAAAGACACTGTACAGTTTAAAAACAATTCTTTCACAGCCTTACATTTCGATTTTTTTCTTTAAAAGGAGTGAGTTGTGTACAGGGGGGTTAAATGCTTTATAGACAAGAAAAAAAACTGTGCTAGAATCAACTTATTCATCACATCTTCTTCATCTTCTTCATCTTCCTCCTCTTCCTCATCCTCCTCATCTTCTTCATCTTTCTCCTCCTCCTTCTTTTTCTTGCTTTTTTCAGCCTTGATGACTCCCTTTTTCGCAGCATCAGGCTTTCCTTTAGCTCGGTATGCAGCAATATCCTTTTCATATTTCTCCTTCAGCTTAGCAGCCTTCTTTTTCATAAGGCTGCTTGTCATCTGCAGCAGTGTTATTCCACATCTCTCCCAGCTTCTTTGCAACATCACCAATGGATAGGCCGGGATGCTCTCCTTTGATTTTTGGGTGATACTCAGAACAAAACAAGAAAAAGGCTGAAGGAGGCCTCTTGGGTGCATTGGGATCCTTGAACTTCTTTTTTGTTTCCCCTTTAGGAGGAATATAAGTTTTCATTTCTCTTTCATAACGAGCCTTGTCCGCCTTTGCCATGTCTTCAAATTTTCCTTTCTCTTTGGCAGACATGGTCTTCCACCTCTCTGAGCACTTCTTAGAAAAGTCTAAGAAGTTGACTGAAGCATCTGGGTGCTTCCTCTTGTACTCCTCCCAGCAAGTTTGCACAAAGAAAGCATATGATGACATTTTGCCTCTCGGCCTCAGGATCTCCTTTGCCCATGTTTAATTACTTTTCCTCAGCGAGCGCAGAGTCGCCCAGTGTCCGTTTGGCCCGCACTTGCCCCCGGCGCTGTCTCTATGGAGCTCAGTGTACTGCAATGGCTGTGAGAGCGGGAGCCAGAAGCCGAATTTTTTTTTTTTTGAAGACTCTTTCAATTCACTTGCCCATTTCATGATAGGTGATTTACGAGCACACCTGCCCACGCTGTGCTGAATGTCCAGCAGTTTTTGACCAAGGATGGGGTGACCCCCATGACCGACCCTCCCTATTCACTCAATCTTGCCCCAAGTGACTTTTTTTATTTCCCCGGATGAAAAACCTTTTCAAAGGGAAACACTTGGCCAATGTAGAAGAGGTGAAATAAAAAAATAGCAGAAGTACTAAAAGGCATCAAAATCAATGAGTTCAAAAACTGTTGTGAGCAGTGGGAAAAAGTCTCAGTAAGTGTATTGCATCAAATGGAGAGTACTTTGAAGGTGCCTGACATTTAAATATGTAAGAATAAATACATGCCTTGGCTGGTGTGGCTTAGTGGATTGATCACTGGCCTGCGAACTGAAAGGTTCCTGGTTCGATTCCCAGTCAGGGCATATGCCTGGGTTGCAGGCCATGTCCCCAATTAGGGACGTGCGAGAGGCAATCAATCAATATTTCTTTCACACATCAATGTTTCTCTCCCTCTTTCTCCTTCTCTTCCCCTCTCTCTAAAAATAAAATTTTAAATTTTTAAACATTTAGAAAAAGAATCAATACACAATTTATAAATAACTTTGAGGGCATTTGGGTCCACCCTCATGTGTAAAAACAGTAGTGACTCTTTTCAAAGAGAACAGTGCTGAGGCCTGGAAAGAATGAGGTTTCAGATGGCAGAAGGACAGAAGACAATAACTGGAATTCAGAAAGCCAAGGCTTTTAAGCTGAATAAAAAGATGATGAAAACTTGTTCCTATATCACCAATTTCTCAAGGGATATTTTTTTCTGTTTTTTTATGACTTTATCATTTCCTGTTGTCTTGTGAAGCACATCTACTGTCTCGAATTTTTTCTGAGGAAATTATAATAGTGGTACCTGGGGAAACATGGAGAATTAGTCTCAATCCAATGGCAGATGAGTCAAGCACACTCCTCAGCTCTGCCTGAGGGAAACCAGAGGGTGTCAGTTTTTCACGTACGTTAATGGTTCTGGCCCTTGGCTGCACATTGGGTACCTCAGGGAGCTTTAAGGAAGACTCTGATGCCTGGGTTCCAACCCTAGTTTCATAATGTTTCTGTTCTTGAGGACGTTATTGGTATTGAGATGTCTTAAACCCTCTTCAGGTGATTCTAATGTGTAGCCAAGGTTGAAAACCATTGTAATTATTTCATCAAGAAACATAAGCCCTGGCTGGTGTGGCTCAGTGGATTGCATGCCAGCCTGTGAACTGAAAGGTCGCCAGTTTAATTCCCCGTTGAGGCACATACCTGTATTGCAGGCCAGGTCTCCCGCTAGGGGCGTGTGAGACAACCAATCAATGTTTCTCCCCTTCTCCTTCTCTCTCCCTTCTCCTCTCTCTGAAAATAATAAAATTCTTTTAAAAGAAATGTAAAAAATAAATCTAATCTGTAAACGGAGGTCACCAAGAGAAAGAGCTAGAAACTACCTATCTTTTTTTCATAAATACCTACTACATCTTGATGGCAAATTTCATAGTGGACAAAAAAATACAGAAGTTTCCAGAATGTTTCTGTATCTTCTCCCTCTTCACCATCCAAGTGGTCCTTTCTAAACACTATAAAATAGATTTTTCAAAATGTGAAGAAACAAGATATTTGAAAGCAAATCTTGAACACTGATAATCAATAGGAAAGAAAAGAGGGTTTGGAGAGAGAAAGCGTTGCATTTTATACTTCATTTTCTGCAGGCATGGATTTTGCACCGGGGTAGGCTCACCCTCCCAGGGAGGAATGCCCACAGGGAGCACCTCACTCCATTGGCATTTTGCTGCTCGTGACTAGGTCTTATGCACATCGCTGTTCACATGAGCTTATGTTCCCATAACTCACATCTCCCAAAATGCCAGAACAGAGAGCCAGACCTGTGGTGGGGAGAAGGGAGTCAGCCTTGGCTGATAATTTAGCCACACCCAGGTGCCATAGAGTTCACAGAGCGTTTTAAGCCTCCAGAAATCACAAGAAAGACATTTAATGTGGTGTTAACCTCACTGGAAAGAAATTGACATCTCGAGATACTTATGAGGCAGAAAGATGGCATTTTTCCCATTTTCAAGGCTTTAAAATAAAGAGAAAAATTTTGTAACTCAACCCGTGTTCAGCAGATGTCAGCAAAGATATTTGCTGTGACCAAACCTACAAAGAAAAAATTTTAAAGACTGTGAGTTTAATTTATGCTCTGAACAATCTAGTTTAGGTAGTATAATAAATTCCACAATAAACACATTTGGACATAATGCAGTTGGTGACTGACTCCCATCTTTTGCCCAGTCCTCTTTCTAAACAAAATGGATAAACTGAAGCTCTTGTTGGCGTACAGGACAGGGTTGAGGGAGAGCAACACTGGGCTGGAAGGAGACTCATAACTGTTTGGAGTGTTCCCAGTTCCATTTACAGTCAATGCAGACATTATAATTTCACTATCTTTACTTTGTGCTTACTGTGACTGTACATACCTCCTGAAGTTTTCCACTAACTTCATAGTAAAAGGCCCTGTATTTTTAACTATTTCATTGTTTGGACCTTCATCATCTTGTTAGGGTTGTGTATACTGTATTTTCAAATAGGTAAGTCACTGATACAGGCATTGCCATATCTGCCCTCCCTGTAAGCTCTCCCGTGTTTCTGTTTTCTGAGGTATAAGATGGGACCATATTAGAAGTGGTTCTCACTAGATTTCAGATGAGAGGAAGCACTCATATGCCTCTATTTTGAAGGGCAGTGTAAAATACTCTTGTGAATTCTATACTGGGAATCCAAAGTTCATTAGTTGACATTTCTTTGGGGTAGCTAACTTCTGGGTTCCTCAGAGGACTCCGTAATTGTTCCTGGTGACTGGCTCTGCCAGCCACCTGACCTGTACCTGAGCCCCCACACACACCACAGACAGTCCCTTCATAGTCCCAGGGTCTGTGTATTTCCAGGTCTTTTGGAGGACACGGACTGACTCAGCACATGACCGTGGTAACCACATGGCTCCAAATCTGATCCTTTTTCAATGTTGTGGGGTCACTTCAGCTGAGATCCCAATAGCCAGGTGCACATGGCCATGTGAAGGAAAATGTAATGCAGGAGAAGGAAATCCAGGCACCAAAAAGAGGGGCAAGAAAGGCAAATCTGGAAGGAGTCTAGAGTAAGACTCAGGGTCAGGCAGTGCCTAACAATGCAATTCAGAACCCAACTGCTTAGATTTCAATTCTGTTCTGTCACTTTCCATTGGTCCTTGGGCAAGTTTTTTAGTTTCTGCGCCTCACTTTCATAATCTATAAAAGTAAGAGTTAATGATAATAATACTTCATGGGTTTGTAGCAAGTAATTAAAGTTCTTGGCACATAATATGATTTCCGTAAAAAGCACATTGCTATTATTGGCATCATAATTATTGTTCTTGAATGAAGAATTGGAAGCCATAAGGAAAAGTTTTCCCAATTGTATTAGTTTCCTAGGGATGCCATAATAAATCATCACCGACTGGGAGGGTCTTGGAACCACAGAAATTTATTCTCTCACAGATCAAGGAATCAGGGTGTCCAAAATCAGAGTGTTACCATGGTTGTTTCCTTCTGGGGCCTCTGAGGGAGAAACCGTCCCTTGTCTCCCTCAGTTCCTGGTGGTTGACAGCTATGCTCAGTGTTCTTGGCTTGCAGACACATCACTCCAGCCTCTGCTTCCATTTTCTCTGTGCTCCTGTGTCTTCTCCTTTTCTGTCTTGCAAGAGCACTTTCATTGGATTTTAGGACTCACCCTAATCTAGGATGATCTCATCTTAAACCTTACTTAATTACATCTGCAAAGACCCTTAATCCAAATAAGGTTATATTCTGATGTTCCAACTGGACATAAACTTGTGCGGGCAACACTATTCAACCTTCTTCACCAACTAAGAGCAGGTTGGGATCAAAGCAGAGGAAGAAATCGTGAAGAGTCCTGGAAAAATGTCACCTAATCTTGGACATGGTGCTATAAACTAACGGGGTTGTGTTGCGTGGGCGGTTGATCAAGCAAAATAGCTGGCTACTATGAAGGTCATCACTGAGTCAGACCCAGCTAACACAGCGTTAATCAGTGAACTCTTGTGCAAACTGTGGGAAACTTCTCTGGAGATAAGTTGAATATACCCAGCAGGCAGTGCGTGAGCTGAGCCCTTCCCCCTGCCCTCTCCTGAGACGCTGCATGCCACTGCTGAACCCACTATTGAACGCTGAACGCATTCTGACACTGGGTAATGCAATAGCAAGGGAAGAGCTTTGGAGCCTCAAGGAACTGGATTTTAATAACATGCTCTGCAACTTACTAAGCTCCACTTACTACCTTTGTGGCCTCAGGTAAGATACTTACCTTCTCTGAGCCTCAGTTTTGGCATTTAAAAACTAGGCATAATATTGCTACAAACTTGTAGATGTCAGAAAATGAATGCATGCAGAAACTACACCTAAGCGCCTGGCATAAATTTCAGTGAGTGGTTGCTATTATCACTATTTTTGTAAGGCCCAAGGGACCATGGAGAAGAGCTGTGAAGACCCATCTGCATCTCTCCCCACCCCCACCAGCTCCACCCTTGCACACAATAAACTGAGTAAACACACAGAAAACAGTATAACTGAATTATGCATCAACTGCATTTTATTACCTGCACTGTTTCAATGAATGGACCTCCAATAGCTTCTCAGGGATTTTTTAACCCAACCTGAACAGCCCATGGTGCAGCACTTTCCTTGACTTAGCAGATGGACACTAGGCAGAGCAAAGGCAACAGGAAGCA